ACTTGAGACTCGACTTGGACTTGACGATGACGACTTGAAGACAACACTAGGAGATACGATCTACTTGCCCAACCATCTTGATGAACAAATGCATTAGATAAGAACGGCTGTACTGGGTCAGACCAACGGTCCATCTAGCCCAGTAGCCTGTCTGCCGACAGTGGCCAGCACCAGGTGCCCCAGAGGGGGTGGACCAAAGACAATGATCAAGCAATTTGTCTCCTGCCATCCATCTCCAGCCTCTGACAAACAGAGGCCAGGGACGCCATTTTTATCCCCTGGCTAATAGCCTTTTATGGACCTAACCTCCATGAAATTATCTAGCTTTTCTTTAAACTCTGTTAAAGTATATCTACACTAGCCACCCTAGTTCGAACTAGGGTGGCTAGTGTAGATATACTTTAACAGAGTTTAAAGAAAAGCTAGATAATTTCATGGAGGTTAGGTCCATAAAAGGCTATTAGCCAGGGGATAAAAATGGCGTCCCTGGCCTCTGTTTGTCAGAGGCTGGAGATGGATGGCAGGAGACAAATTGCTTGATCATTGTCTTTGGTCCACCAGCAGGGAGTCCAAACTACCGGGGATTTAAAAATGGCGGCGCCCGGTTGTCTCCTGCCATCCCTCTCCAGCCTCTGATAGAGGCCAAGGACACCATTTTATCCCCTGGCTAATAGCCTTTTATGGACCTAACCTCCATGAAATTATCTAGCTTCTCTTTAAACTCTATTATAGTCCTAGCCTTCACAGCCTCCTCTGGCAAGGAGTTCCACAGGTTGACTACATGCTGTGTGAAGAAGAACTTTCTTTTATTAGTTTTAAACCTGCTACCCATTAATTTCATTTGGTGTCCTCTAGTTCTTCTATTATGGGAACTAATAAATAACTTTTCTTTATTCACCCTCTCCACACCACTCGTGATTTTATATTCCTCTATCATATCCCCCCTTAGTCTCCTCTTTTCTAAACTGAAAAGTCCCAGTCGCTTTAGCCTCTCTTCATATGGGACCCGTTCCAAACCCCTAATCATTTTAGTTGTGAGGGACAGGGTTTGCTGCAGCCCTAGAAACCAAGTGGGAGTGGGGCCTGCCCTTGCTTTTCTCTCAACGGCCAGGGAGGTGCCGTCCCTCACAGATACTCACCTGGCCAAGGGCTCCTGTAGTACATGTAACCGGGGACGTATACAGGTGGGAGGAGGAGGGCTTGGAAACCAATGGCTCAATTTTAAAAATTATTCTACCCCCCTTAAAACAGTGACCGAACACAGATCCTTTTGCCTCAGCTTGAACGGTCTCTTTTTTGCATTTTGAAAGATACATCTCTGCTTTTCCTACCTCTCCTATCACACAGGAGAGGCCCCTGCCTCTCATAAGGTACAAGCTAATTAAGGCATCAGCTTGGATGACCATCCCAAAGGACTTGTAAAATGTTGACCATAATTGGAGAGTTATATAAATTGTCCTCTGTCGGCAAGTTTACTATTTCTAGGCAAAGCTGGTAGCACCACATAGTAAAGCAGCCCTGATGTGACTCATCAGACCCTGCTTTCAGTTGCTTAGAACTTTACCTGCTCAGGCTGCTGAACTTTCTCTCAGACTAATTTTTGCTGGAAAGTTTGAGTCAAAACAGTTCAGCCATTTCCAAGATGCAGAATAAGGAGGCGCCATTGGCAGGGCCCTAGAGGGAAAAAGAAAAGTATTGTGATCATGTGATTAATAAACTGTATCATGATGCATGTGCACAAGGGGGGGCGAATGAAGATTTTAGCAGCAACTGTTATTGTGGCAACATCAAACACTCAAGTTAGAATATGAAACCTTAATGTTCCTTTACCATATTGTTGTGCCTAGAGATAAAAACAAACATCTCCACTATTCCAGTTCTTCCATTGATTGGGCTTCACCTGAGAAAGCAGTGAGAGGTAACATTTGCCCCCAGAGGGCGCTAAAGTAACACAGGTAACACATCTGTCAAGATACAACTAAGTTCTGTACCTACTTGTGCTCCAATTTTTCCCCGCTCTAATTTCATATCTAATCAAGCTAGTGCATAACTAGTCTATAGGATATCCAGCTCTTCATTGAGTTTAATTCATTTTCTGCTTTCTTTCTCTATTCCCCTCTTCACATACAGGGAAGATAGAATTACTAAATCTCTCTCCACTCATCTGGCTTTGCTGGAATGATTTTTAACAGAATTGGCAACTTTTAACCATCTTTGTAGAGGACTCTGATCCTTTCCCTTCTTTCTGCTTTGTGCCTTTGCTGGCCATCTCATATGTTTGTTCTAGCATTTTCCCTTGGAGGAGGAATGTTTTTAAAAACTCACAAGTCCCTCTGGGCTGGGAGCTGTTGTTTCCCTTTGTTTAGAGAGCTCTGGGGATGGGTAAAGCATATTTATCCTCTTTTTTTTCTTTTGCAAATGCAAAGGTCAGTTAACACATCATTTGACTTACAGACTCAAAGCCAAAGTGTCTGCATTATTTCCACACTGGCTGCAGGAAATGCAGTGAGACTGACCTCCGCGTTTCCTTTCCATTGCTCTCTTGAGGCAACAATGGCAGTTTGCTTTCCCACAGACCCAGCAGGGGACTGGCCTGCGATCTTCATGTAAGAGAGGCTAGAGTCATCCACGGGGGTCCATGGCAGTAGAGCACTCCCAGAATGCTCCTTAACCTCTGCCTGAAGGGGGCTTTACACTGCGGTGGAGGAACTATGGCAAGTTAAAGCAGCCGGGGTAAGCACTGACTTAGTCCAGGAACAACGCCATGGGCTGCAGTCACATATTTGACACCCTACCAACACGCCTTTCACAGTAGTCTCCCATGATGCTTTATTTCAATGGAGGGGGCTTTTGCAGGTTTGTGGAGGAGGGCAAGTGGGAGAACATCCCAGAGCTGACCCACTTCTCCTATTTACATACACCAATAGGAAGCACAAGCTGCTGCTTGTCATGATCCCCCACTTTTCTGCTCCCTGCCATTTGTGGGAACAGAGGGCAGAATTAGGTCCTGAATTAGGCTCTGTGAAAACACATGTTGCTTTTATTTGGTTGCACATAGGAAGCAGGCAACTTCCTGGCAGGGAGCTCTATATGATGTGTGTGTGTGTGTGTGTGTCACTAAGGACTGAGTCTGGGCTCTGTAGCTGGTCTGTAATGAAATAATTCAAGTGGGCCAACAAGCAGGCTACGTAGGAGCTAATAAAGAACTATGTCTTGCAGCGAGCCGTCTCTGCCTTTATCTGCCAGACCTGCAGGTGTGTCACACGAATCAGTTCGTTCAAAGGAGAAAATAGAGATCTTATGTTTGGCTTTGTTCTTTCTATGAACCTTGCTCCCTCTCCCGGTCTGGTGGGACCAAGCCTAACAGCATGTGGTTTACAATCTGCAATCCAGCAGCAGGTCCCTGAGCCAACGTTCGATTTCAGCAATGCTGCGGGGAGCTACACAACTCAGGCCTGACTGTGTTGTGTCAACGTTCTTTCCGAAAGTCCCTCTAATTCAAACCATGTTCTGTGGCTTAGCCAGATGTCCAGCGTTCTCCTTGGCTGAGCCGTACGCCCGGCCGTGTTGCTCTCCTGCACTTTCCATGTGCACATAGAGATGGCCTGGAGAGACCGCAAGAAGCCCTTGGCCACTTAAGCTGAAAGCCGGAGAGGTCATGGTGTCCTAGACCATCCTGTTGAAATGCAAGGGAAAGCAGCACGGCCAGGACACAATCTCTGCCTCTCGCACAAAGAAAAAGAAAGAAAGAAGAGCAGCGAACAGTGTTCCCCTCGGTAACTGTAACAGACCTTGTTGCCACAGCAACAAAACTGGGAGTCTGTTTCCATTGCTGTCCGCCACCGCCTGTCTCCTAAAATGTCTGCAAGTGCCATAGGTGCTGCTGAGCCTCTTGTGCGTGGCTGCCTTTCTACCAGCCTAGCTTGCTCGGGAGCATTTTGTATGTGTGGGGGGGGTGCAAACTGCTGAGGGGGGAGTGTCTCGTTTCACTCTGTGGCTGCCATTTCCCCACTGGCTGCAGAAAGGGCTCCCAGAATCTTTTGAAACAGGAGACCTGTGCAGGGAATTCCAAAGTCTGGCCATAAAAGTTAATTGAAGCAAACTCCCACTTTTGGCCCTAATGAGGAAATAGGTAATGTGGGGCAGGGGCTCTGCTCTCTGGTTAACCCTCCTCCTGGTATTAAAGCAAGCTGTGGGGGGCAGGTGTTTCCTAGCTGCAGGGCAGACAGTGGACTGGAGACTTTCAAGAAATCCCTCATCAGCGAGGCCCCAGAACCCATGAAATGACATCTGGGTTGAAATCTAACACAGAATGGGAGCTAACAGTGGAGATCAATGCATCAGCCAACCTCCAGCTGTCCTGATAAGGGGACTGAGAATCTGTGAGCACTAACAAGCCGCACAGCTTGGATCTACTCAGCGTGGAAAATGAGGTGTTCAGGAGCGGTGTGGATGAAACAGTCAAATGTGGCCTTCACTGGGCCAGTCTGGTGTCCGTGCCCCACCACTGCAGTGGGGAGTGCCACACTGCCTGTTGTGTACACTGGGTTGCCAAGCTCTTGGCCATATGTGATCGTGTGAAGCCCAGCTGATCTACGTCAGGGGTTTGTATTGCTGCTCAGCACCCTCCATACATGAGAGAGTGGCAGTATCCAAATCGGAGGTGTTTTTATGGCATTGCTGGCTCTGCTTCCTCTGTTGTATGGGGAGAAGGTTTGTGTTGGTTGGTTGGCTTGGGGTTTTTTTTAGGTTTTTGCTTTTATTTTACATAAACCCAACAACATCGATGTGAACCCACTGTCCGGCACAGGAGGCAATATAGTGAGCATTTCAATGGCAGCCACAATGACAAAAGGGGGGAGGGGGAGGGGGATCTGACATTTGCTGTATAGTACTCACTGCATGCTGAGTGCTGTACAGACAGTAGAGAAACCACAGTTGCTGCACTGAGAAGCTTATAGTCTAAGCCTGCTACACCCAGCGTCAGATGAGAAGTAACCAAAGCAGGATGAGGCAATGGGGATGGCTGTGCACGTAACGCCTTAGTTTTGTGGCAGTGCACCGGGACCCTGCCTTTGCAGCTTTGTAAAAAAAAGTCGCTTTGCTAGCCTCTTTCTGCCCCTCCTTTTGAAAAAGGGAAACCCCAGCGTGAGCCTCCACCTTCCTCCCAGTGTTTCTTCATAGGGCTTGGTGGCTGCAGCTAGCTGAAGAGAACCTCTTGCTACCTGCAGGGGAAGGACCTGTCTGCCCCAGTTTGCAATGGGGTCCAACCAGCGCTTAGCAGCTTCTCTTCTCTTTGTTCTAGGTGAGTGTTGTGGGACTTGTTGGCTTTCCTCTCCAGTTAGCATTTGCAGGAAGGGGGGAGTTGTTGTGGGGGAGAGCTTAGACCTGCAAGCCACCCACTCCTTTTGTTCCTCTCTGGGAAAAGACTTGTGCCCTGTGGGTTCTGGGTGAGTCTTAGGTTTTCTGTCACATTGACTGCTGCAGCTGACATTGAGGGACACTGGGGCTCAGAGACAACTGTGGCGGTTTGGCCCATTTTGTATCCCCATTTATTACTGTGTATCACTAGCTTACGCTAGACCAGTGCGCTCTGTAAGCTGTGCACTTGGGATCAATTCAAATGCTGCCCGGATGATTAGCAAAGCACCCAGAGCTGGCAGCATATGTTTCTGTTGGTGGTGCACATCCGCACACATGTCAGTGCACCTCACAAAACATATTTTGCACACGGATGGAAAAACGTAGAGGGAACGTTGCAGTGGGCCTGTACTTTGCCCCACGATTTCCATCCCATCTTCATTTGGCCCACAGTCTCCCTGCCACTCTGTACCTGCTATAGTTGGTCTTTTTGCTCATGTTGCTGTTTGTACTTCAGTCAGAAGACTAAACGCTTATCTCCAAAGAAGGCTGTTCCAGTATAGCACCGGGTATGACTTTAAGGATTGTAGTTCTAATGGGGTAACTCGCCATGTGCACATTGTATTCCAGAATACGAACACCTTTCTCTGGGTTAGCATCATTTCCTGCCGCAGGTCTCTCAGAAGAAGACACTCTTCTTCTGGCTGTGTCCACACAGGGAGCTATTCTAGAATGGCCATTCTGGTCAATGTCCCTGTGTAAACAAGCCCTTTTGGGGAGTCTCAAATAAAATGTAGAGTAAACCAGCATTCCCTGAGAACTCCACTTGTAACAAGGGGAGAAAAACTACAAGCTGTGTAGCTGGCCCTGTGTCTTCCCTTTCCAACTCTGTTCAGGCCAAATATAGGCAAAAGAGGGATGGAGCATACGGCTAAGGGGTGAACCGCTTTTGCAGGCTATTCACCTCTGCTGGGATGTCTTTGCCTACTTGGTCTGATGAGGCCTCCTTTGGCACGGCTCATCACTTGACGTATTCTTACAGCTGTTTGTCTATTGGCAAATCAGCATTGTCTCCCATGGAACTTGCAGCCCATCCATACTTGGTCTGTCCATGCTGACTAGGGAGATCAGTTTTCTTTGTCTCCTCTCTAACATCACTTGTCATAGTGATAAGCGATTCAGAAATCCACTCACCCCAGTTGTGTTATCTACAGGCTAATCATGCCCAGTTTTCTGAGCCTCTTCATAGAACCCTACTGGAATCTGTTATCCTCTTTAGTGCTTTCCTCTGAAATGGCATCACCTTGTCTGGTTAAAACTGTGGTGCATTCATCTGCTGTCCCCTCCAGACAGAGGTCTTAGCATCACCCAGGAGGGCAGAATAATCATTAAAAGGATGCTTGTTCTTGAAATGTGAGGTTCTCAGTTTGAACATGCAGGTTCTACAGCTGTGGGTGCCAAATGGGTATCAGCAAATGAGAGTTGTGCTGAAACCTGATTTGCCCTCACCATTGTGATAAATACACAAGCGAATTAAGGCTGTGACTGCAAGCACCGCATGTCTGCAGCTCAGATTCCATGTATATGTAAATCCCAAATCTCTCTTAGGAGGTGCCTCTAGAAAAGGCATGGGCAATAAGATGGAGGTAGTTCCCCAGAGTGTAGCCCCTGTCACGCTGCTGCCACCATATTTACCTGCATGACCGCAGGAACAGCTGCATGCAGCTCCTGTTGGCCAGATATTGTCATTCCTGGCCAATGGGAGCTGTGGGAAGCACCATGGACCAGGACTCCACTTCCCATTGGCCACAAATGACAATCCATGGGTAATAAGAGCTGCACTTGCCTCTAACTGCAGCCATGCAGGTAAATATAGTGGCGGCGGTCCGACAGGCTAATGCTGGCCAACCGCATCTGGACCATGGGCGGGTTGTTGTCCACCTGTGCTCTTAGAAGGATTTGCATTGCTGTACACAGGAACCACGTAACATTGCTGCTGTTTCGTTATTTATAAGCAGGCCTCTGTGTTGGCCAAAGAGTAGTTCTGGTGCAGAAAGGACGTCTCTATCGGGCTAGAGGTTATCACATCACCATCTGGTGCAATGTCAGTGGCTACCAGGGGCCCTTGCAGCAGGATTTCGAGTGGTCCATTTTCCTGCCTTCAGCCCCAGAGCAAAAAATGCAGATCATCAGCACCAAGGATTCCACCTTCCCTTATGCCGTCTACTCCCAGCCTGTGCAGAATGGGGAAATCTATGTAGAGAGAGTACAAGGGGACTCTGTCCTGCTGCACATCAAGGAGCTCCAGGACCGGGATGCTGGCGAGTACGAGTGCCACACACCCAACACTGATGAGAGGTTCTTTGGGAGCTACAGCGCCAAGACAAACCTTTCAGGTAAGAGCTAGAGAAGGCTGCTTGCCTCCTACTTGCCATTTAGCCACATTCCACCTGTTGCTCTGAAGCACCATATGATGGTTCAGGTTTACTGATGCTCTCCAGTATGGATCCAGGAGGTGTCATGTTGGCAGTGAATCCCTGTATGTCTTTGGTGAAGGGAGAGGCCAGTGACGTGCGGGGTCTAAAAAGCCCAAGGGTGTCAGAGGGCTGTTCCTCCCACTTCCTCAGAGTAGAGACTGAGCCAGCGGGGAAAGGTGGTTGTCCCCTGTCTTGGAGAGACAGGGCAGTATTGGTACAGGGGGTGAATGGGGCCTCTTAGCTAGGCCTTTCCTTCTTCCTGCTCTGGGGCTTTGGTGCTGCTCCTCCCAGTGGTGGGAAGGTCACGGCACCTCTGCAGCACAGAAAAGGGGGAAGCAAGTGGAGCTGTCTGTCTGCTCTCAGTTGAGGAAGGGGAGCTGTGCTCTCCACACCCCATTTCTTGAATTCCTAGTTATGATAGCTCCAGCAGATTGCATCAAAATATCTTCATGGGTACAAAGGCCCTCAAAACTGACTCTCAGCATACTTTAGGCCAGGCCTATGGGAGACAGGGGCATGCTGATGCACTTCGGTTGCCATATTTGTTCCAGAAAGGGTAGCCATCCTAAGGGACACCTTTGGGAAGTGGGAGAGATCTAGAAGGGGGAACGCCTGACAGGTTGGGGTGGGGAGGGGGCAAAGGAAAATGCCTTCTTCTGAACTCTCCTATGTAAATGGTGGTGCAGCATTCCCTGAAGAGAGTTGCTCTGTGGTAACTTTGGTGGGGCCTCTGGAGTACTACCCATGTTTTCCCCTTTATCCATGTTGTGTACCAGCCCTTACTTGGCCCTATACCTGAGTTTCTTTGGAGATAGTTAACACTGCCCCAGGTTGACTGAAGAGGGTACAAGACAGCATTGCAGCAAAGGAGACATGCTCTGCCCCACCACGATGCTGAGCTCCTTTATATATAGGCTGCAATCAGCAGTGAAAGCTGTTAATGCCACGGAGCGGAAATCCCTGCACCAGGAAGAGGGCTTGGCTGATAAGCAGAGTGAGTATCGGTGCCTAGGCAGAGACTTGTTCCGCTTGTGACCAACATGGTTGTGTTCTGGTTGTGTTTAGTGATCTCCGACACTCTCTCGGCCGCCATGCCACGCCAGGTCCTCACCCGAGCGGAAGGAGATCTGCTAGAGCTCACCTGTGAGGTGTCAAAATCCACAGCTCAGCACACCCACCTTTCTGTTGCCTGGTACCTTCTCCAGGGAGACAGTCAGGCCATGACGATCCTTTCCCTGTCCGAGGATTTCATCTTGACTCCAGGCTCCTCCTACACAGAGAGGTTTTTGTCAGATGTCCGCCTGGACAAGGTGGGGGATACCACATACAAACTGTCTATTGGCAGAGTGAGGCCTTCTGACCAGGGCCAAATATACTGTGAGGCGGTTGAGTGGATTCAGGATCCTGATGGGACTTGGAAAGATATAGCTCGGAAACAAACGGAAAAGACATTGTTGACTGTCAGAAGCCAAGGTAAGATACTCCCAGCCCATCGGTGATGCACTTTGTCCTTATAAAATGACTCAGCTCCCATCTGGGGCTGTGTCCAGACTCAGGGTTTTTTTCGAAAAAAGTAGCATTTTTTCGAAAAAACCTCACCTGCGTCTAGACTGCAGCCGCGTTCTTTCGAAATTAAATTGAAAGAACGCGGCTTTTCTTTCGATGGCGGTAAACCTCATTTCACGAGGAAGAACGCCTTCTTTCGAAAGTTCCTCTTTCGAAAGAAGGCGTTCTTCAATGTAAATAGGGCTTCTTCGAAAGAGAGCATCCAGACTCACTGGATGCTTTCTTTCGAAAAAGCAAGCCGCTTTTTCGAAAGTTCAACGTGCAGTCTAGACGCTCTCTTTCGAAAGAGGCTTGCAGTCTAGACATAGCCTGAGAGACTTAAGAGGTTCTTAACTCATGAGCTCCCCCTTTCTACAATAGGGCCATTGTGTAAATAACTATGTCTTGTTAAATGTCTAACGCCTTTTTTGCCCACCCCATCATTAAGCCACTGCAGAACAAATCAATTTACACAACAGCACTACCACGAATGAGAATCTTGAAGCTCTAGGTCCTGTCACATTTGCCAGGAAACAGAATGGCTCCAAACCTATTGTTTGGTGATCGTACGTTTTTGGGGGAGGGAAGGGATAACTCTGTGTTGCCTACCCCAAGTATTCAAAAATCATGAGTGAATCCCTGACAAATGTTAAGTTCAGTTTAACATTTAATCATAAGATTTTAAAAACAAATGTTAGGTTCTCATTTACCTTTTGGCATCAGAGCCTTTTAGGGTTGACATTTTCAAGCTTTTCTCTGTAAATCACGAGGGTTAGAAACATTTTTAATGGAAAGCTCTGATTCTCATCAAACCATCTGACTCCAGGAGCTGGACCTTTAAGAAAAATAGCATGAAGCTTTTTATACAATTGTGAGATGTGGCCACACCAGCATCTTCCCAGGCACAAGTGAAGGCAACGCTCTCACTGACTGCAGTGGGCACTGCACTGAGGTCTTGATGCTCCAGAAGATTATGGCAAGCACAGAGGTAGCATGGAAGAAGGCGAGAAGAGAACAAAGGCAGAAGGTTAGGCATGGGGTAGGGTGAGAAAGTGAAAGCAGTCAGACAGAAAGAAACTTAATGGAAGCTGCAGGGCCTTGAAGGTGAGAACAAGGAGCTGGAGTTTGGTGGGAACGCTGGGAAGAGGTCTGACTAAGGAAGTGATATGGTGGGAATGGCACACAAGTTTATCACAGAGATCTTTTGGGAAAGGGGGCTGATTTGAGATGCAAAGTGGCCAGAGAAAAGGAGCATGTTGATGGTTGAGGTGAGAAAAGACCATGGCTTGGGTTAAAGTTGGTGGCCTGGCTGAAGAAGAAAGAACAGGTTTTAGAGTGTGTGGTAAAGGAATCTGTTGTGTAATAAAGATACTGATTCAGAACCGGAAACCAAAGAAACAAATAGTTAAATCAATATTTTTCAACCTTTTTTTTTTCATTTCCAGACCACTAAAAAGTTCACATGGAAGTGTGCAGACCCATTTATAAGTTTGAGCCACATAGACTGTAGACAACCACAGGTTCACAGATTGCAAAACACTGTTCATTAAGCTGTGGGCAAGATGCGACCGGTCAAATGCTGCAAAAACCTCTTTTCATAAACATTGATTCATAAAAATGTGGAATGGCTGGCTGGTTTGACAAAGTTTGTTCCCCTCATTTACCTCTCATTCATGGGAGAGGTTTTTGAGTGCACCATTTGTGGAGAATAGCTTCAGTTCATATGAATGTTGACATGCAGACTATAATATTTGTTTTCCATTGTTCTTCTATTTTAAATGTCATCATCCAATCAGGAAGCAGAAACAATACCATGTTCATCATTCATTCAGGAAGCAGAAACAATACCATGATATCAATTACCAATCATATGCTACAATTTATGAATAGGGATTAGTTAACATATAGTGTTTGGAAACTTGTGATAGGCTGAGAATTCTGTTCTATTAGCATGTTACAGGTTTCACCAAAGCATGTGACCACTTGGTACCATTATTTGAACTTGGAGGCTTCTTGATCTCATTGTTCCTATAAACTGTTCAGGCAGTATTTGGGAATACCAAGCATATGTACAGCATTCAGGATTTTTCTTCTTTAACTGTTTATGAACCAAACATTTAAAGCCAGGGAACCAACTTATTTGCAATAAATAATTAAAGCAGCTGTAAATCTCAGGAGTGACCATTTTTACGTTTGGACAATGAAGTATAGTATGTCCTTTGGATTGAGACATTGCTTTTCAGGAGTGACCATTTTTACGTTTGAAATATAGTATGTCCTTTGGATTGAGACATTGCTTGTGCAGTATTGATCTAAGTAGTCCAGGCAATGGTCATGTGAAAATGTGACATGCACAGAAAGAGATATGCTCGTGATTTATTTTTGTGTATATGTGAATATGTGACATGTACAGACAGATATGCTCGTGATTTATTTTTGTGTAGAATTCTCATTGAGTTTGAGTTCCATGTATGGGCGTTTGATAGGGGCCATATTCTTTGCTCATTCAGCAGTGTAACTATTAATTGAATGATATTGGATGGGAGTGTGGTCTCAAGTGGGGTTCTGCGTGGATCTGTTGTTCTTTAAACTCTTCTTAATGACTTTTTATTAAGCCTTTTGGGGTTTTTTTCAATTCTAGGAATTGCTGAGAGATGCCTCAGGAAAGGTGGCAGTTAGACTGTGTTGGATTAGACCTAAAAATGCTTGGCCCTCTACAAAGGGAGAATCTTTTCCAAAGGAAATGGTCTATAGGACTCATTAGATAGAGGACCCTCCCGAGTCTAATGAAGCTAGGAAGGAAAAATTGAACAGGGCCTCTTAACATGCACTAAACTTGCTTTTGTTTTCCTACAGACAGAGATTTCCAAGCTACTACTGCTGCTGTTGAAAACTCCCTGGCTGAAGGGAAGCCCTTGCGAGTGGATTGCTCTGTGAATGCCCAGAACAGCCAGAACCGATGGTTCCAAGTGGTCTGGCTCTTCAAAGGAGTGGAAGTCGCCAGGATTGACCCACAGGGGGTATGGACCTTGAAGAAGGAGTATGAAGAGAGAGCTGTCTTGGGACAGCTCCAAGTGGCAAAGGAAAGCAACGAGATGTATATCCTCAAAGTATACCAGGTGGGGCTGAAAGACAAAGGCATGTACAGCTGTCAGGTTTCTGAGATGGAGAAGGTTTCCACAGGCTTTTCCATCATCCAGACCAAGATGTCATCAGGCATTGACGTCATCGTGAAGCCAATGGGTCAGTAAAACCAAAAGCCCTCTCTTTGAAGTGAAATCTGAGAAAGGTCCCTGGTTTGAGCACTAGCAGTGTCCAGTCCACAGGGAAGTTGCCCCCCACTCCTCAAAAGAGGCAGGTGTGCTTAGGGCTCAGCACACTGACAGAAACCAAAGTATTCAGAGTATGATTTTTGAAGGCCAGGATGGCTAAATGAGCTTTCCTGGAAGCTCCCAAATAACTTCTCCTCCCAGGGCATGCTGTTCAACCAAACACTGCCAAAGTGTCAGGGAGTAGCCGAGTTAGTCTGTAAAGAAAAAACAAATGGTCTGGTAGCACTTTATAGACTAACAAAACATGAAGATGATGCAAAAGCAGACAACCATCACTAGGGTGTGCCTGTGAATTAACTATCACTGGGGATTAGAGCATTAAACTGGGGCTCAATTCCTATTCCTCGGTTCCTCATTTGTAAAATGGGGACAATAACACTAAACTCCTCCTACCCTATGCCTGCCTGTTTACACTGTCTGTGTCTGGCATAGGGATGTAAGCAACTAGTTGACTATCCAATAAGCAAAATCTTATCAGATAGTTGACTAGAGGCTTCCCCTCCCTTGCTGCCTCTTTAAGAGGCAGCAAGGGGGAACAGGAGCTGGTGCATAGGGGTGCTGACTTAAAAGCTGGTTCCCCCTAGCACCATCTCTGCAGGGGGCTGGGAAGGCAGTGGGGTAGCGGGGACTAGGCATGAGCCAAGAATCAGCTGATTCCTGGCTCATACACAGTGCCAGATACTGCGTGTCTGATTTTTAAATGTATTAAGAGCCTGCTAGATCTTAATACATTTAAAAGGCAGAGCCACAGCAGGGTTAGCTCCCAGGCCAGGAGCTAATCTCGCTGCAGCTCCCCCACTTATCTACTAATGGAGTAGTGGATGGAAAATCCATCTACTGGTCAATTAGTTGATAAAAACTAAATTTAAAATTCCTTGTCTGGCACAAGAAAGCCTCTGCCTTGGCTTGGGCTTCTAGTACCACTGAAACACACATAATAATAATCATGAGACAACCATGAGCTTACAGGTCAGGCGTAGATTCTACAAGAATACCCAGGCGGGAAGAGTTCTTACTGTTTCTGTATTACTTGGCCTTGCTCATGCAATGACGCCGAGTGAATTTTGCCGCTGTGGTAGGCAAAAACAGGTAAGTCTCTGCAAGTATTGCCTAGTTTTTCCTTAGCATGGCTTTCACCCATCCCATCCTGTCTGTCCCAGTTCACACCTGCTCTTATAACAGAAGCAATTGCTCTTTCCTCAGAGGGTATAACACTATAACATTAAATGAAAACTGGCGGGTGGAGTAGGTGTTTTACTGCAGGCCTCTTGTAGCCATGACCACTCATAAATTCTATTTAATGCCCTCGGATTCTCAGACACCATGGTGATGGGCACAGTACAAGCACCTGAAGAGAATAATTTGTTTTCTTTAATGTAGTTGTCATAACTCTTCTTATCACTTAAAAAACGCTTTTAAAATGAAAAATAAATGCATTTGGGTTAGCTGTGAAGAGCTGACAAGAACTGTGCCCACACTGGAGCCCAGAATTCATCTGTCTCAATGCAGCAGGCAGAGGTGAAAGTCAGTTTGCCAGTTGAGCGTGTTCACTGAAACATTCCCTAGTGTGAGGGTTCCAAGAATGCCACTGGCAGAAAGAAATATACTTCCGGGGACTGAATAGTTGGCTCAAATTTCTGGACAGAATTGATGTTGAGATTGACCTTGTCACATTGTGTAACACAAGAAAAGTCCTGACCCACTTGGATAGGTAATTACTGCTGTTTTTGATTGCAGAGAGCAAGATGCAAGTATCTGTACTAAGCAGCAAAACACCGATAGTGGAAGGAGACCCCTTGATCCTTCACTGTGAGGTGAGCGGCGCAACAAGCCCACTCTCTGTGAATTGGTGGCATTTACGGAAGAGCATAATTGGGATGGAACAGGATGGCATGCTGAGGCCTGGCCTCTCCTACCAGGAACGGAGCACTAATAGGGACCTCTGGCTGGAGAAGGTGAACTCCACCATGTTCACTCTGGTGATCTACAACACTTCTGCCACCAGTGATGGAGGGTCGTACAAATGTGAAGTGACAGAGTTGGATAGAAACTGGAAACAGGCAAAAGAAACATCAGTATCCGTTAGCCCTCTCAGTAAGTTGATAGAACCCATTCCTTGCATTACAGTTAGATCGTATTCCATTATAGGTAGTATGGTCTACTGGTTAAAACATAGGCCTGGGAAGAAAGAGATCTGGGTTCTATTCTAAGCTCTGCCATTGACTTGGTCTTACTTAACACCTATGTGTTAGAGGAATTACTTAACAGCTATGTGCCTCAGTTTCGCCACTTGTTAAATGTTGCAGGGACAATACACCCTGACTGGCAAGAAGGCTGTTTTGAGATATCATCAATGAAAACCAATAAAATGCTCTGAGATTCCTGAATGCCACACACTGTGTAAATACCAGTCACTGCTTAGCAGGAACCCTTTTGGGTCCTCAGCTTCTTGAAACATGGAGTGATTAATCTATTGCCATAATTGTTTATGGAACTAAAACTCAATAAAAGGTCTTGCTGAATTGTACTCTAAGAGCTCTCAATGAGAGATCCTTGAGTTTGGATCACTCTTTGCCCACCAGAGAGTAGCTTGGTTAACTTTTCCAGGCAATCCCCTTTTGTATTTTCTTCTTTTTGGCTGGTGAGGAGGGTGTGGGTTGCAGTGGATATGCATAATCACCATTCTTTCTGTCCATATTGTGACTTTTATGAGGCAAGTGCGCATAGCACTGAATAGGTGAAATAAATATTGGCAGATGAGCAGTGGAGACAGTTGGCTTGGCAAAAGGAAGCACAAGTTATTAATCCGAAACAGACCCTTCTATTACTGCAGCTGTGGTGGAATCTCACACTATACGCTACATGGCAGGACTGAGTTATGCTACTGGCAGAGCTGTATGGAGAACTCAAGGTTATGTTTCCATTACAGAGCCTGTGCTGGTAGAGCCACCTAGTATGCTGGCAGGCTGAAGTTTTTCTGCCGGTGCAGGATCATCATTTCCCTGAATGATGGGAGCTGTGCTGACGGAAGCCTTCCACTATAGCTGTAGTTGTCTCTACGCTGGGGGTTCGTCAGTGTAGCTTTGTTGCAAAGGGGTGTGGTTTTTCGTCTCCTCATCCACATAGCTGTGCAAGTATAAAAGTGGTGGTCAGGCCCAGGTCTGGAATAGAAGGAGATGCTGCTGCTCGTAATGTCAGTACAGTTGCAGAGCTGTGCATGGGCTCAGGAGTGAAATGTATTAGCAGAACTGAGGGGTACAGGAATGGGAGAGCAGGGGATAACTTTAATCAGGATAGCAACCATATTGCCAGTGTTTGTATGATCCCAAATAGCCAGGGGGATGTTCTGATGAGCGGGCCTGCTGACCAGGGAATGGGGGGTGGGGAAAGGGGCCAGCTGCCCCAGGGCCCAGCAATTCAAAGGGCAGTGGCTGGAGCCCTGGGCTCTATAAATTGCTGCCAGAGGACATGCACTCCAGGTATCACTAATGACCAGTTGCCCTCAGGCCCGCCCCTTCTGCCCTCAGCCCCACCCCTTCCAGGAGCATGGAGACAGCGGCCACGCCCCCCACCTCCTACACACACCCCTTGTCCAGGGACTAGCAAAGGCTGTAGACTCTGCTGATGCTGGGGCACACTGACAGAGTGGGGCAGTCAGAAATAGCATTGAGGGGTAAGGAAAGAGCAAGGTGTGTATCAGAGCTGTGGAATTGCAGAGAAGCTGGGTCAATGCTTCCCTGCTCAATGATGGAGACAGTGCTATTAGTTCTCCAGTATCATGAGTCCAAAGTGTACTTGTAAAATAAACAACTAACCCCCAAATCACCCAATCAATGTGGGAACAGCCCCTGGCAGGGGAGGACAGTGCTGCAAGTGAAGGGATAAAATCAGGGGCAGTGATTGTAGGATCTCTGTTATAACTTTGCAGCCCCAGTACCAATGGTGTGCCTCCTCGTTAACAGGTTTGGATTTGAGAGCCACGCTGAAAAGCCGAACGGCAGCTGTCAAATTGACTCAGGATTTTGAACTGTTCTGCCAGGCTTCTGCCCCCTATCGCATCACTCAAGTGCCAGTATCAATAACTTGGCAATTCCAGCACAACTTAGGGGCTAATGGCTATCAACAGCTGGTCAAAGTCATGCCCAGTGGCATCGAGTGGGGGGCTGACCTACCTCACTTTCAGAGGAAGACCAGCGTCACAAAAACTACGTCTTCTTCCACGCTCCTAATCCACAGTGCCACAGAGCAGGACGCAGGCAGATACAGGTGTGAGGTGAAGGTCTGGAGGAGCAGCTCCCAGCAAACAGGACACCCAGCCATGGCAGCAGCTGCAACTGTAACGTCGAATGTTGTGGGGATACAGGTCAACCCACCAGGTGAGCTGCCGCACGTGCTTTTCTCAGTAGCAGCTTCTTTGCTGTGTGACTTGCATAAATGATCCAAAAAGAATGTAATTAGCACTTCCTTTGTCCCCAGGGTCTTAAAACTGCTAGACCCCCTCTGGGCTGGACCATGCTCCCAGGCCACAGCAGCCGGTGCTGCTTGGAACAATTCTGCCTCAGCCAGTGTGGCTGTTACACACATTTTTTAAAGTGAACTAAGTGCTGGTGAGGGAAGGCCTCTGTTTATGCATTGAATAAACATCGAATGAGGAACACACACACACACACCCACGCACACCCACACCTCTCTCTCTCTCTCCGGAGGGCTTCAACCCTACCATCTGGAGCAAAGGGGAGAGTTCAGTCCATGGCCTAGTGAGTCTTTGGCCACTGCTCAGACTGAAAATGGGGCCAATGGTGGAGGTTCTGAGACATGGACTCCTCCTTAGTTCACTAGATAATACTTAGTGTTGCCTCAGTGCAGGGGACTGAACTAATGCCCTATTGCATGTATCTATCTATACTAGGCCCCTGAATGGCTGCCCTGGACTGGACAGGAACCAGTGACTTGGATGTTAAAAGCTCCATTTCCTATTCTCTTTCAGTTGCCTTGATCCTTCCAGTCTTCACTTGTCCAATGTATCCACAACAAGTTCTACTCTCACCAGTCTACACACACTAGAGGCCAATATAACTTATATGGGAGGTGTCATGGCCTGTGTGAAAAAGCTGCTGAGTGGGTTTGTTTTTGTTTGTTATCCTCTTCACTCTTCTGATGCCAGTGGCGGGGAGGGATCCCCTTCCAGTGTGGTATATCCTGAAAAGAAAGCTGCAGTTTGAGGTAGTGGACTGAACAGCATCTGTATTTCTGATTCTCTGTGAGTATCTATGATTTTGATAAGGGTCTATACTCAGTGTCCATGTCTCTCGAGAGTCTCACAGCATCTTGTAGGCTGTCAGACTGAAATTCCCCATAGGGGACCATAGAACTGTAGAAACCTTTTCATATTTAGCTAGAAGCCATTCTGTATAACACAAGCCATTTCAGTTTCTTGTGTCTGCATGTATACTAGAGGGAGTGAACTGGCCTTCACCGAGGTGGGGAGAGGCCAGAAGGATGCGCCGTTGGAATGTGTTAATGAACTATTTTGAGCTGAAGCTTGAACTCCCTAGAAAAAACCCTGTTTCTTTCTTTGCTGATGATAATTCCTCTTTGATGTTCACTTTGATTTCTTGCCCTGACATCAGACTTGTTTGGTTAAGGGTATAAAATACTAGGATTGATTGTGTTGAACAGCCTTCCTGGGCCCAGCTCTGCTGGGGTCACGTTTGGCTCACTCTTGCCTTATTGATCAATAAAGCTGTTTGTTAGCTGCCAAAACAGAGCGAATGTTGTTAGTGAATTTAATTCCTCAGCTGGCCTGGTGACTGTCCAGGCCTGATCCACTAGGTAATTGAAGCCCAAATTTACAACAGTGGCGCTGTTGCCATGGGGATCTTGTAGTAATAGTTTCTGTTCATGAAAAATTGTAAAGCCTTTTTTTTTTCCACAAAATATTTCCAGTTGTTTGACTTAACTGAAGGCTGTGTCAACAGTTAAACTGCTACAGCAGCACAACTTCAACTGTGCAGTTGAGCCACTGTAGTGCTTTAGTGCCGGCCCCCACTACTGTGGTGTAGTGTACACTCTCTCCCTGGGAGATAGTAGCCAGGTCAATGGAACACTTCTTTGGTCAACCTAGTCCTGTCTCCGCTGGGGCTTGGGTCAGCTTAACTATGTCTCTCGAGGGTGTGGATTTTAGGGAGAGCAGAACCATGAACTGAAATCTTGAGCTTTTCAGGATCTTAAGTGATAGTCTACAGCAAGCCCATGTCCAATATATCCTTTCCTGTTCAGCCCCACTGCCCTGACTGTCTGTAGGTCAGTGGTTCCCAACCTTTTCCTATTCACTAACTTTTAGCAGACTGGCAGTGTTTTATTTGCATATTTACATATTAATTATGTAAATGAATACACAAATACGCAAATACAATGATGCCTGTCCACCTAACCCCAATTTAGCTCTTTGTTCCCCAGTGCCCAATATCATTTGACACCCACCCCTGTGCTCTTTGACCCTTTAACCTCTGATCCTTACAGCCCATGCCAACACCCTCTTCCCCTGTGACCCCACTACACCCTCATCCAACACCCCTTTGACCTCATCCCTGCACTCGCCAGAGTGAGGCTGCCCCCTCTAGGGGGAGTGGCTGTTACTGCCATGCAGACAGGGGTGTTCCCTCTCCCCCCAATGCATCCAATCCCCTCTCCAGTCATCAGAAAGATTCCCATGGAATTGGATTCCCTGTCTAGCCATAAACTTCCTGAGTGTCCTTTGGCAAGTCACATAGGGTAACATTTTCACAAGTGACTGAGGTACTTAGGAACCACTGACCTACTGACTCTCAATAACTTACACTCTTCTGTCACCTCCATGCTTGTGACCGTGTGTCCCTGTGATGTAGAGGCTGTGGGGAGCATGGAGCTCTGGGCAGGCCACCATCTTACCTGGGTGGGAGGGGAAAGGAGGCAGCGAGGTGCCTCTTCCTGCCACCACCTCAGCCCCAGTGCTGCTGGTGGGCAAAATCTGCAGCTGCTGCAGCCTGGCAGCCACCAGTTTGTGGACCGGCACTGGTCTGTGGACCAGTGGTTGAGAACCACTGCTGTAAATCTATTGCCCATTGCTGCACCTTTCCCTTCCCAGGGAGTTGGCCATTTGCATCTGAAATACAGATTTTTCAGTGAGCAAGAGGACCCTGGGAAGCCATAGCATGGAAGGGGGAAAAGGGATGAAAGTGTCCAGCAGGCTTAAATTTGTAAGCTAAAATGGTAGCCAAAAATACCACTGGAAGGCTATTCGATTACTTATGTAGCATATGCACTTGGAAGTAGAGCAAAGAGGTTAGGTTTGCTTGGTATGCCCCTGGGATAGTGTATTAATTCCTGGAAAGATAACTACAGTTGAGCGAAAAGCAACAAAAAAGAACGGGAGGATGGAGGTACTGACTGGAAAGTTACATTTGTATGGTTTTGTTAAGAAAGGATCACAAGCCTATGACTATCTGGTGGAAATAAGTACCAGAGATGGTGAAACAGGGTTGTGGAAGGATGAGAAACCTTGGGGTGAAATTTAATTTCAGCTGCAATTCAGGAAAATTTGACAATGAAATCTACTAGGCCAAATAATATTGTCAGGTGAGAGATAGGAGCCCCATTGTTTGGGACACTTAGTTTAAACAGAGACTGGGAAACCCCCTGTAAAGGGCTCCGCCCTCCTTGTGAGCACCCCTTGGTGGCTGAAGAGAGTCTTGTAGTCTCTGCCCCATCTGTCTGTGGGCGAGGAAGTGTCCGATATGTGGCCTGGGACCAGGCTTCTTCTTACCCCCTGTTGTGGCTGCTGGAGGTTGGGGGAGAGACCCGGGCCCACACACTCTTCTGAGTCCTGGCCCAGGGACCCTGTAAGTAGCAGTTGCCTGCGCAGTCTCAAAGAGGTTGGTTGCTGTCACATTCCCTGGGCTACTTCCCCCGGAAGCTGTTCTGTCCAGCCCTTTCTCTTGGGCCTTATGGTCAAGTCTTCCCTGTCCAGGCTTCTACAAAGTGTTGCCGTTGGCTTGCTGGCTAGTCTTCACCCTCTGGACCTGGTTTCGACCAGGTCTGAAGTCCAGCGCCCACTCGGAGCTGTCCAGAGTGCTGCTGTTATCTCAGTCAGCCCTTAGGTCTGCCTGGGTCAAGCTCCGGCAAGAAACTGGCAGGCGTTGGCCCGGCAGCTTATTTTATATCAGCCTGCAGTGCCCTGATTGGCTGCAGCAGAGGCTGCCGCTCTCTTCTGCTCCTCAGGGCCTAGTCTACCCCATCATAGACCCCTAGAAAATGTAGAGTAAGAAACAATATTTCCTTTGAAGGAGGAGGCTAGATTATTATAACATATTACTCCCATATCCAACGTAGGCCTGACATACCCATTGCTTCAGAGGAAGTTTAAATCTACCTATAATGCACCTTAATGCCATCCTAGAGAGAAGGATAAAGCTCCTTTCTAGCACTTCTTCCAGAACCCAGTGAGATGCGCGTGTGCGTGTGCGTGCACGCGTGCGCCTGTCTGGTGCTGCAGTGTGTGTGTGCGCGCGTGTTTGAGAGAGAGAAGGGGACAGAGAGAAGCTGCATAATACTCCAGCTGTTTCCTTAGCTGTCAGAGCAGAAAACACACTGTCAGCAGGCAGGATTCAAAGTGAGGCTGTCAATGGAAGACTGCTCAGTTAATTAAGTTGAAATTGGTCCTATTTTCGCTTTCATGTCTTTCTATGGAGGGAAGCGGCCTGTCTCCTTTTTATGATAATTGAACTTTAGCAATGTGGTCATGAAAGACAGAGGCCTTAAAGCAAAAGGGGTGGGCTTTAGCAACCACTCTGCTTCCTCGTGGGGATCATCTTTAGAGGAGTTTCAAGAACCAGGGATCTTCAATGCTAAACCATGAGTTGCTCTAATTTGAGCTGAAGAGCCTGTCTCTAGAGCTGAGAATTGTAATGAGACTGCCTCTTCTGTGGATCAGGCCCAGACGGGGATGCAATGCACTGACCAACAGGATACAAAAGCCACAGCCTTTCAGGAAAAGAAATGAAAACAAATAGTGTAACCCTAGGAAAGTGGAAGTGAAAATGGAGGGAATGAGAATGTGATTGTACAACTAGATGAGGCATCTAGAATTCATAGCCCTATTGTAACAAGGAGGGCCGGTATCTTTGATGTGATAACACAGTCTTTGCCTCTGTCTCCTCTGAGAGAGCACCTCTAGCAGCACATTGCTGCTCCTCTGAGAGTAGGGTGACTAGCTGAGCACTGACTGAAAGAGAACAGCACCTTCTATTAAGCCACCAGACCACTTCCTCTGACAGCCCAGTATTCTCAAGCCATTTGACATCAGCATAATTTTGAAAGTCCTATGGTTTGGGTCCTA